CCTTTTGAGAATCGAACTAGTGCATCACTCATCTGCCACCTCAGAAAGGATGTGCAAGGAATTATTCGTGCACTTAAGACTGATTTTTCAGAATTAAGGATCAAGGAATATCACGGTAAGTCTGATCCAGTAGAAAAGGCTCATGACTTTAGCAACGTAGAAGAATCATGGAAAGACGTAGACCTAGTTGCCTATACTAGTACTCTAAAGATAGGAGTGTCTTGCACTAATCCTAAGTTTGAATGAGCATTCTGCATCTTTAACAGTTATATAGAAATGAACGCTGGGACGAATCAGATGTTATTCCGTATGTGATGTATTAAGGATTATATATGTCATATTGAGCAGAGATCTTCTAACGTTCCCATTATAGAAAAGGGACTATTTCAGTGGTTATTAAATGCTAAACGTGAATGTCTTCCCCGAGAACTTCAGAATAGAGGAATATTTCCAGATATTGATTCTATTATCCGGAATAAGGATGTGCCAACCATTCGATTGTGGGTAGCATTTATGTTAGAGAAATTCCGTTCTCAACGATTATTTGGTTGGAGAATGATCAATTTTCTCAGAGAGGCGGGTATGATAATTTCTATCATAGAACCCATTCCTAAGTCTGATGAAAACGTTGTATCATTATCCCAAGCTGTGAAGGTAAATTCCTCTATAGTTAAAGCAGAGGAGATATCAGATATATCCAATGCTACTATTCTCGATCGTGAGACTGCAGAATTTTTAGAGAATAAATCAAAGAAGACTTTAGATGAGATGAGGTCTCTGGATCGACATCATATTGTAGATTGCGATGAGATTCTGCCTGAATTATTGACTGAGGATTTCGTCTCAAAATATGGAAATTTTAATCATATAAAATGGTTTAGAGCTTATAGGCAATTACGAGATGCTGGCACTGATAATGAAACGGCTGTTGAGGCTATTACCCGTAAAGATTACAGAGAGAATAAACTCACAACTGTGACCCGAGCTGAGAAACATAATATCTGCTTGAAATTATTAAGAATTTGCACACCAGCTAGAGACATTGACGATAGAGCCAGATATAAAGCTGATGATATTAAGACGTATTTGAATTCTCCTGAATCAATATTGTTTCTCTAGGATTTAGTGTCTAAAATGGCTTGAGTATTTGATAATACAGATGCAATGCGTAGTGCTAAAAAATCAGGACTAAAAACAATTTGGGCAAAACTTGGTTTACTGAACTCAGCACTTTACGCAACATATGGGTTGAAATTTAAGGCTATAGATAAGAATCTCAAACATTATCATCTTGTTGGATCATTCGATAACAATGGCTCTCCTGAGTTACCCCCATACCAAACAGGAGAAGAAATATACTGGGAAAGTGGTAAAGATACCCGATATGCTTATAGTAAGCTCATTTCTGATGAATTAGGTAATATTTCTAGTTCTAGCAAAGCGAATATTACGCAATTTACAGAAGATATTCAGGCTTTATTTGATATTGTATAGGCTGGTTTCATTATAAAACAATCTGGATATATTACTAGACTTCGTAAAAATAGATCATTACATCTGAAGATAAGTCTTCTTCCATTATTTTATATAATATTTCTGAAGAAGACTTATCTTCGCAATATACTTCTTACCTGGGTTCACAAAGTGAATCCCTTGGATCTTTTAGGTAAATGCCACTATTGTTTAAGAAGGCACTAAAAGTGGAGGACTTTAATCTGATAGTATCTAGTAGTATTTTTTTTCCTCTCTCCTAGGTAGACAATTCTGAGGTCTTCATAAGTTGAAAGACCTCAACTTCATACTTCTTCCTCATCCGATAATTTAGTGCATGAAACTTTGCGGAATGACTGGAACAATATCCTGAATCAGAATCAGTAGGAAATCCACAACCACTAACAGGACATGGTCTTTTTTTCATATTTTTTTCATATAATTTTGAATGTCTATAACATCCTTCAGGAAGCCAGCATTTATTTCCACAAATAGTGCCATCTCTCTTGATATATGCGCAAGTAAGATGAGCCATAGAAGTATTTTAGGATATAAACCCTCTTTCACTTTTAATTTTATAATAAAACATGTATTTAAATTAATTGATATTATAATAAGATAAACTATCGTTTCATACTTACGTTATAGACATAATGCAAAGAATAGTACTCAATATACTAACCGGCCAATGGGTCAACCTAAATGGAAAGCTATTTCAGAAGCTAATCCAAGAAGGTTACCGATATGCTGATAGGCTTTCAGATTATTTAGATGATATTGGGACTATAGATATTGGTAAATTTGAATTAGACATCTTAGCCGACTTCTACCACCCAGCCCTAATTCCACCTTTATCT